ACTTCAAGGGAGGTCTTTGTATTTTACCCATTAAATAAAGTATTAATTTTAATGGACAATATATGAATTAAATCTCTTTGTAGTTAGTTCAAATATTGATATACCCCTATCCAATCTAATTTATTTTGATTGGATTATTAGATTATGCTGGTAAGATGGTTTGAATGTTGTGATTTTACTAAATTGTCATAGATGCAAGTTTCATATGATAAATTTTCAATCCATTTTTTTCTAAGAAACATAGTATTGGTCATTTTAATTCATTTTATTAATAATATATAATATTTTGGTCTTATTAGGTTAACTTTTTATACTCATTGTTAGATTGAATCCAAATTCAATTCAAATATAATATAGGATCATTTAGTAGAACACCCTCTATCGTTTCAAGGATTTACTTAAACCCACCCTATAGTTTTCATTTTACTAAAATACCCCCAATAGTTTGTAACCTATTTACTTGACCATTTACTAAGAAGTGTTTGTTTTGCCATCTGAAAATAATAATATAATCACCTAAACCGAGTGGAAAATGTTCAAGGGCATGGGTCCATGATTGTTTATTCCAAAAGTACCCCTAACAATTTTTTGTAGAGAAAACAAAATTAACCAAATAGTGATTGCCCATTCTTTACTAGAGGCAAAAATACTATTTTTATTTTTTATTTTTTGGATTAAATTTGTTCAAATGATTGCAAATTGAATTAATTGATTGTAAATTATAAGGGTTATTTTAGTAAATCACAAACGATAATGTAGGTTTTAATAAATCCAAGATGTTTGAGTTTATATGTATATATGGAACTGCCCATTTCCGAGTCAAGTATGAGGAATGTTGGCTTAGGGGTATTCGGTACTATGGAGTATGGACTAGGTAAAGAGTGGTGCATTTGAATCCATTGAGCCCATTATTATGTGGTTGAAACTACGCCACGCTTTTTGTAAGCACTTTGCACCATGGTGTGGACGGATGTTGATACATTTTCAGCAAAGTTTTTAATAAAAAAATCTTGATCATCTATTATGTATAAAACTTTATAAAAATAATTTAACATGTCATGGTGTAAATTGATCAACGAGATTTAACTGTAGACAAAATTTTGTAAAAGCAATGTAATTCGAATCATAGTACATTATGAATCAATCCACAGTACGGTATCAAATAAACATTAAGGCTGAGTTTGTAAGGAGTACAAATGTAAATATATAGAGTGCAAAATTATATATTTTATATTATTTTGCATTTATTTGTACTGTACATATTTATATTTATATTCCTTCTAAACTGAGCCTAATGAAAATGTGGCATAGACTGATTTGAGCTATTCATGGTTCGGTTGACATTACCAAACACCCCTTTGAAGTTTGAATAAACTTGTGCCCATACTTTCTTTCGCTTTGGATGGACCTGAATCTGTCTCGGCCCCACCCAATCTTTGGGCCAATTTCATAGACTTTTATTATGTCCGCCCAATGGCCTTTGCGTGAATCGTGTCCCCCAGGAAAAAGCCAGTTTTTTATTTAAATTATGGTTTTTGAATTGCTGTTGATCCGGATGATTGGATCGTTCAACCTAGGAATTTTTCAGACAATTGGTTCTGTTTTACCCCAAATCCAGTCTCTGGCTAAAAATCGTTTAATTAGTCAATGATTCGTTGACTCGGAAAGTCGAACTGTCGACTCATCAATCTGTTCAACGGTTTTTTGCCATTTTTTATTTTTAACTTTTTTGTTAGAATGGGCTGTCTGTTCGAATCGGACAATCAAACCTTCAACCTGTAAATCGGTGGCCAGAACATTTTCATTTCCAAGTCGTTTTTTAAAATCATTATTGAAACTTTGCAACCATGATAGTTCAATTAGAATTCAGAGCTTCACACCACCTCCATATGATTGTAACTTTTAAGTAAAGGTGTCAATGGACTGGTTTTGGATTGGACCCCTCCAAACTAAAATGAATTTGGACGGATTCCACATACCAAAAATATATATTGAATTGTAACAATCAAACTTAATGGTTCAAAGTATTTATTGAATTGGAGACCTAGTCCGTTTGGAATTAATTTATATTGAGTGGGTTGGATTGTGCTAATATCTGGTCCATTGATATAAGATAAGAATATAGGTGTCAATTAGACCTGTTCATGGGCCGGGCCGGACTTTTACTCTTCATTAACAGAAATATGTTAGGCCCGAGCCCAAGCCCGGCCCGACCAACGGGCCTACAACTTGGGCCCGAGCCCGGCCCTAATAAAAAGCCCGAAGCCCGAAGCCCGACCTAATAAAAAAATTAGAAATTTTCCCTATTCAATAATCAATATAAATCAGAATTTATTTACATTAAAAAA